GGATAGTTGGCCAGTGCTAATCAGAGCACACCTCGCTTCCTCAGAACGATGAGCTTTGTAAAAATCGATGCGTTTCAGAAAGGCGGGGCATAGAGGAGAAACAATAATGTACAGTATGTGGAAAATAATGTGTGTTTTTTTACCTTAAACAACACAAACACATTGCATTACACTAAATACACTAAATAATGTTCTTTTTAGCAACATCATATGACCCCTTTAATAGTAAATGAGCTCCTCTGTAGTTTTTTTAATGTATCTAACTAACCAACTAGGAACACTTTATAACGTTCCTGAGGTAAATGCAATGTTAAGTGACATTGTTCACAAGCTATTTATTAATGTCTTTCTCTGGTTGAAATACTGATTGGGACCATTTCTACACACAAGTTGCACGGTTTCCATGTTTTTCCACCCCTTTTGATTTACAGGATATTATCGGCCCTGATTGTCGGCTTTTTTTAAACAATCGGCCATCTGGTGCAGATGCTTTTACCGGTCGATACATCAGTTCATCCCTATTAAAAATAGTTTTTTTTTAACATTGAGTTTTGCAATATTTATGCAAAGTTTCATATGTAAAAATTGCAATATATAATTTCTGGATCAAAATAGTTCCAGAATGCAGTTCTTAGATTTAGATATACTTTTTCATTGTGTTCAAGGTTAACATTCTCTCTCGGAGAAGGTGTCAATCTGGCAGTCGGTGTGTATGTGTTGGCCAGGACTGCCACCAAACCTTCTGCTGTCAAGCTTCACAGAGATACTAATGAACCAGTGCGCACTAAAACCCGTTACTTCCATGCCCATAATGGGGGGATACTTTTGCCAAATGATATGAAGAGGGCACAGGTAATCAGAATCAATACTATCACAAAGCTATGCTGTAATTTGCTCTTTGTGTCCCTGTTATCTAAAAGTTACCATATTTTCTTATCATACGAAATTGACTACTTTCTATGAAGGTTTATGGGAAGAAACAGATTGTGATGGAAAAGGATGAGGTGGATAAGATTAAGAAGTTTGATGATCCAGGTTTGGTTCTGATGGGGTTTAAGCCCATGGACCGTCTCAAACTGCACCATCATATACGGCCCGCGCTCTTCATATACCCTGAGGAAGAGCAGATATCAGGCAGGTCTTCATTTGATGAGGTCTTGAGCCTAAGCACCTCCTTCAGTTCAATCCAGTTGTTTTATGAACTGATTTTTTTTTCTCATTTTGGAAAGCTGATGTGCAGTTCTTTATTTTTTTTCTTTTGTTTACCCTAGGAAGCTCCTGTATGTTTACAGCTCTGCTTTTGCAGTGCAGTGAAAACAATTTATTTGCATTGTGCAGATACATTCCTCGTCGTAACACTCCACCTCGGTTTGTGGCACTAGTTCCTCAGAGAGAAGAACTGGATCAGAGTCAATCTCAGGCAACACCTCCAGGTAACTGCAATCAAGACTGAACAATTTTCATTTACACTGAGCATTACTTTCAACTGTATGGCTAATTGATCTTTTTAATATATTAAATAGTAATATTAAAGTGTGGGATCCTATATTTTAGGCTTCCATGTGATATTTCTTCCCTTTGCTGATGACATACGCACTGTGGATGCTCACGTGGGCCCCACAGCCTCTGATGAGCAGGTGGACAAAATGAAAGAGATTGTGCACAAGCTCCGCTTTAAATACAAGTGTGTGGTTTTCTACAAGTTGTGCGCAGTGCATTCTTCAGTTATGGAGTTGTAGTTAATTTGTACTGTAAATCTTATGTTTTTATAGGAGTGATGCATTTGAAAACCCAGTGCTACAACAGCACTACAGGAACCTGGAGGCTTTGGCTCTGAATATGCTTGAACCCGAGCCCATTGAGGATTTAACAAGTATTTCTTGAGAGCCGAAAAGTTTTTAGTGGATAATTGTTCTATTTTAATTCTATTACTGTCTCACACTATGTGTGTTCCCTCAGTGCCCAAGGTACAAATGATGAATGCTCGTCTTGGTCCACTGGCTCAAGAGTTCAAAGATTTAGCCTATCCTCCTGATTATAACCCAGAAGGGAGGCCTGCGGCTAAACGCAAAACTGGTGAGATTTCAAATGGTCTTCCATTAATGTAAAGCATGAGTCAGGGGTGTAATTTTCGGTATTTGAGCTGATTTAAAAAAAAAAAAACATGAATGAAAAAAAGGCTGCATTTTCAAATACATTTATTTCTTGTGTGGATAGTTTCCGACAGCACTGCACAAGCTAGTGGCACCATAGACTGTAAAAAAAGATGGACGACACGTCTCCACTTCCTTCCACTATAGAAAAGTGAAGCCAAAGCATCTCAGTATGGCCGCTGCCATCTTGAGTAAATGACGTCATTCGGAGCCAGAGTCTGAAGTAGAGATTCATTTGGAGCCAGAGTCTGTGCAGTAGAGAGTCGTTTGGAGTCAGAGTCTGCGCAGTAGTGTCGTGAGGTGGAGCTGCGGTATCAAACTCCCGCCGACCCAATCAACCATAATGACACGCCCCGTTTTTATAGCATCAAATTACTAGCTAAAATCAAACTTATCACAAAAACGAACAATTGAATATATATCAGCGTGATAACAACTACCTTAAATGACCAAAACCATCTTTCGGAAAATTGTATTGGAAGTGTAATTAATTTTTTTATTTTGATTCAAGTCCCATTTGTTTACATGGAGAGGGCGGGGGTTATGACCTGTACTGCAGCCAGTCACCAGGGGACGATCAAAGAGCCCGCAGCTTAACTTTTCAGGACGTGTGAGGCACACCCGAGTGGCACCATCAAACCGCTCAGTGCAGAACACCCTTAGAATCTCAGCCAGGGTCCACAATTAACAAATCAGTGTTGGCAAGCAAATGAAATGGTCATAGTTGCCAGCTGGCCACTGCGTGTTTCAAAATGTTCATTTACACACGAGCAACCCATGATCCAGTGATTTAGTGTCTCTTGAGAGGCTCCACATGAATTCCATTTCTGCAAGTACTGGGTAACTTATAATGTGCATTTGAAAATGCAGCACGTGCCAACCGTATTCCCAGATTTGTATAGAGAATCATTTATAAAGCTGTCGTAAAAAAAACTCTAGTCTCTGTACTGTCATTTTACTGGTGTGTAAAATAAAAAATTATCATGAAATATCAAATACTCATATCATGATACTCACTTATTTTACAGTACAATAGTATTATTTCAGCAGTAATGTATTAATTTGGTTTGTTTTTAATTATAAAATGAATTATAATAATAATTATGTAGTCATATTAAATGGAATTGTTTTTGTCTTTTAACATGCCTAATGCATAATAGTACTATGGGATACTGCAAAGACATAGCAGCATGGTTCTGTATGCATTGGAAATTACTCCTAACTTCCATTGATTGGCAGTCCTGTTTTAGTTACAATGCCACTACATTCAAAACCGTTCAAAGTTGACAGTAACAGAATCTTGACTTGAGTTGTCTCTTTCTTTTTGCCCAGCTGAATCTGGTGGTGGTGCTGCTGAAAAGAAGCCAAAAGTAGAGATGTCCGAGGAAGAGCTGAAAAACCACGTGGCAAAGTGCACCTTGGGAAAACTGACAGTGCCTGTGCTAAAAGATGCATGCAAGCAGTTTGGAATACGTTCAACTGGAAATTACTCCTAACTTCCATTGATTGGCAGTCCTGTTTTAGTTACAATGCCACTACATTCAAAACCGTTCAAAGTTGACAGTAACAGAATCTTGACTTGAGTTGTCTCTTTCTTTTTGCCCAGCTGAATCTGGTGGTGGTGCTGCTGAAAAGAAGCCAAAAGTAGAGATGTCCGAGGAAGAGCTGAAAAACCATGTGGCAAAGTGCACCTTGGGAAAACTGACAGTGCCTGTGCTAAAAGATGCATGCAAGCAGTTTGGAATACGTTCAACAGGAACCAAGAAACAGGAGCTTATAGATGCCCTGACCATGCACCTCTCCAAATAAAAGTTCTTAAGGCCTTGCCCATATTTGGCGGAGAATAAAACCTTGACACCTTGATTACATACTTGTTCATAGAATAAATACAGAAAGATGTGTATTTCTGCACATTCTAAATGACTTTCCTGTCTAGAGCAAAATTCTGTTCAGCATTGTGACTGTTGTCATAATGGATAATTAAATTATGCCAATGCTGGTGAGGCTTAAGAAAAAATGAGGAATAAAGCTTATTACAAAGCTTGAATTTTGTAGTTTTAACAGTAGCATTTAACGTCCTTATTTCAACTCATTTGCTTGCTATTCTTTAAACGTTTGCTCTTTATTCCTCATTTTTTTCTTAAGCCTCACCAGCATTGGCATAATTTAATACATTAATTACATTTTATCGAACACCTCAAACACTGGTTTAACTTGAATTAGTATGGAAAATTTTCTTAATGTTGTCCAGTGATACTTTGGAGGTTGGTAATGTAGATTACAGAATGTATGCCTGATAAAGTGAACGCCTATTATGAATGTAATTCTGCAAATCAATTCTTGCTTGTATGTTTAGCAAACATTGGGGTTAAGCAACTAGTTTGTCTAATACTCTAAATACATTTTACTTCATAATCAGTAGAAATAGTGGGAATTAAAATACAGATTCTGTCTCCACCCCTAGGCATGAGAAAATATCTGGTACTTATTTTGTTAAACAACAAAAACAGTTTACTACTAGTTTGTGGGTTTCCATAACACCTGGAATGCGGGTATTGTAATTTGCATTCTCATTAGCAAGAAATGAAAACAAACAGAAGGAAGACAACTCATTTACTACAGATGTTTGAAATTACAGCAGATCTAAATGTAGATGTCTGGATTTTATTTTCTGCTAAAGCAATAAAGCACTGAGCTAGAGGGCTGTTTATACAGCCCAGAACAGACCCTACACAAACCGGGGAGAAAATGAATGTCTCCAAAAAGAAATAGGAAGTCTCTTAATTTCCTCATGTGGGCGACCGAGACGTGTTTGACAGTCCCATAGGATGAAACCTGCTCGTGACGCAAGCCAGCGGAAAGCCATTGACGTTTTGCGCATGCTCACGTTGAGCCAGAGAGCTGCAAGGAAAAAGTACAAGAGACAAAGGAATAAACAACTCTGGGAGTGGACGCGAAAACGCCAAGTTAGAGGAACGAAAGCAGCCGAGCCTGTAACATCGTATACAGACAGGTAAGTGCTAGGAAGGAGTACACTGACAATTTGAAAGGTGTCATTTTGTCCGTTGCTACCAAACGAGTAGCACGTAGCCAGAGTGTCAAATTGGTCTGAACGCAATAACGTTAGTTCAGAAGCCCAAACAAAAATATGGCATGCCTTAAGTTATCGTATTAAACTTGTGTACGAAGTGTTAAATATCGTTTCCGTCCGTGAATAAGTCATGAACACCCATCCAGTCAGCTGGCAGGAAGTTTTGTACAGCCATTCCCAATGCAGTCATCCTGGGCACAACTGCACATTAGCCTTATAGGTGTCAAAAGGGTTCGTGTTTAGACTTGCCACTCGGGTAAACCCTAATTAATGTTCAGGATTGAAGCATTTGCTGTTTTGTTTTAATTATCTGGTTTATAATCCCTCTCTTGTTGTGTTTGTTTTCGCCAAGGTTCTCTCTGCGGTTCTCACGGTGGTCTACTATGGCAGTTGCCAGGGTCCTGCACTGCTGACCCATTTAGTCCCAGTCAGCTGTACAAGTCATGCTGTAAGTCTTTTCCACCCTGAGGTCGGCCAAAATGGAAAGAACTGCTCTGCCCTAGTGGTTACTATGGTGCTTGGCAGGTCTTTGTGCAATAACAACATGAAGAGCACAGAAAGAGGACACAATCGAATCTGCTTCTGAGAAGATCCATCGGTTTCCACTTGTGTTTTTGTTCTTTTCACTGATTCACTGCAAGGTGCGCTTGGCTCACCTTTCACTCCAGTAGCTATCTCCCCTCCCCTTGCCACTCATCCCGAGCAGCTGAGAGGTTGCTGTGGAGATGATAGTGGTGACATAGCAGCAGGAATGGGGAGTACTCCATGTTCTGGTAAGGGGAGGGGGGTCGGGGGGTTTCAGGAGCTGGGCTGTATGCCATGGAAGGTCAGCAAGCAGAAAGGAGAAGCCATCGGTGGACGCGGGTCCGAGCTAGAGGATAGGCCGAATGCTGGAACGCCCCCCACCTCGTCACAACCTCCCACCATTTATCATGAAAAGCAGCATCGGGAGCTGTGCGCTCTGCACGCCCTAAACAATGTCTTCCAGGACGGAGCGGCCTTCAGCCGTGATGCACTTCAGGACATCTACCAGAGGTCAGTGCTAAGATTATGTATTGTTACTGAGGTGATCTAATTTTGGATTTTTTTGGGCACACTTCTGCTTCCTCTTTCTTTTTCAGGCTCTCCCCTAGCACTTTGGTAACGCCCCACAAGAAAAACATGCTGGGAAATGGCAACTATGATGTGAACGTCATCATGGCTGCATTGCAGACGCGTGGGTTTGAGGCTGTTTGGTGGGACAAGAGAAGGTATTTTATTATGCTGTTGTAGTTTTAAATACATCAAAAATATAGTCCAAAACATGTGGCAAAATCTCTTTTTGAATTCATGTTTGTTTCATATGGTTTTGAAAAATGTTCATATCTTAAATTCAACATGAAACAGACATTTCATAAGTATAACCAAGTAAAACTGTAAACTGAATGGAGGGTTTTGATTTTGTCCACTGGAAATTGATTGGATCGTTTGATCCTTTTCGTTTGCAAATTGCTGCAGTTTCATGTGAGTGACAGATCACTGGATGAGATGGATTATTGTCCCGTCCTCACACTGGGGCACAAGTCATTAGAGATGAGATGTTTATGTTTTGATTTAACATTACTGGGGCACATGAATAAAAAAAAAATTTAAAAAGCAATTTAAAAAATAGAATTGTGAATTGAGTTCATGGTGATTTTAACCAAATATTTTCAAGATTGTTTTAGGATTCTTTATTTTTTATTTTTATATATATATATCTTGAAGCATTAATTATAAATATTACATTTTTGGTCACATCACATGATATTTTATAACACAAACTAACCTGCTTTGTGATAAAAGGTCAAGTTATTTGATATTTTAAGAAACTTATTGACCTTTACACACAGTCATGAGGGTCTGCCAGGTTCCTCTTTATGATATAATTTCCTGTTTTATGCACCACATGACTTGATTTGGGCAAACAAAAAAGTTTAAGATGTTAAAGCAGTGAAGCACTTCTGTTAATTAAAGAAAGAATACAATTATTCCTTTTTTAACACCAAGACTGTGGTATCCAATTTATTAACACAAAATACAGGGATAGCCCTCCCTAAAATGAAATGCATACATGTCATTCCAAACCTCTATTTCTTTCATCTGCAGAACACAAATGAAGATGTTAGTAGCATTTTGGTAAGCAAACAGTTTTGGTTCCCATTCACTTCCATTGTGTAGACAAGAAATACAATAAAAGTCAATGGGAACTGAAACTGTTTGGTTACCAGCCTTCTGCAAAATATCATCTTTTATGTTCCACAGAAGAAAGTCATACAAGGTCAGTGTCAGTAAATGATGGAATTTTCATTTTTAGGTGGGCTATCCTTATAATTTTATATTTTTAAATTGTATAATGTTCAGAAATGAAAAACCTGCTTAGCAAAGAAGAGGTGTATTCTAGCATTGTATGAGTTGCATTCATCTTTTTTATTGTTGCTTTTGTTTTTTAATAAATGAATACAGATGTGACATTTATTTATTTTTAAAAATATTTTTCCTATGTATTTGTCATGCTATAGGGATGTCGGCAGCATTGCACTACCGAACGTCACTGGATTCATCTTGAATGTGCCATCCAATCTGCGCTGGGGGCCGTTGCGACTGCCCCTCAAGCGCCAACACTGGATTGGAGTTCGAGAAGTGGGAGGAGTCTACTATAACTTGGACTCCAAACTGCGCAGTCCTCATGCTATTGGAACAGCTGATGAACTGAGGTAAGTGTGACATGCTAAAGGGAAAAGTAGCAGTCGGTTTCAATGCCAAGCTGTGTTTTTTCCCTCTAGCTATCGTTCTGATTGTTTCACAGGAAGTTTTTGCGTCACCAGCTTCGAGGGAAGAACTGTGAACTCCTATTGGTTGTGCCAGAGGAGGTGGAAGTCCACCAGACGTGGAGGTCTGATAACTGATGAATGTTTTGGATCGTTTTTTTGTTGTTGTTTTTTGTTTGTTTTGGAGGTTTCTCAAATTCATGCTCGGGAGGGAAAAATGAGGTTCAATCAAGGACCCATTTAAAGAGCAAATGGAGTTGTACTCAACTAGTCATGAAAGCACACTGCTCAGACTTGTTTACACACACGCTGGACTCTTGCCATGGAGACTGAAGCAGCAAAGGACACACACACAGGGATATCACAAGACAACAAAACACTACGCAGAGAATTTTGTTTGGTATTTGGGATTCTGATGCATTTTTTTATACATTGATTATTTCTTTTACTTTGTACTGTTTTCTGACTTGAAAGTGAGAGGTTATGGAATTATTAGTGATGTGTTCTCGTGCATCAGCTGCCGTCCTCGCTACTTTCCATGTGATTTCCCGTGCATCCATGTGATCATCTGAACCGCCACACATTACAGGTCACCGAAAAGGTATTCGTTTGACCAACTAGATTTTGTTTAACACAGGGGTGCATATGTACTAATTTAGTGCATGTACTTGAAGATTTAGAGAAGGAACACCAGTAGCCCCAGCTTAACCGTTTCCTACATATTTAATGGCATAGTGACAGATGAGATGTTTTCTGTGTATCACAGTACAGCATGGCACCACAGTAATTGGATGTTTTGTGTTCGTTTCCTATAACATATGTTACCAAAACTGTCACTTGTTAATCTCTTACCTTAAACGGTTGCTCTGGACACCCTTTTCTTGTTAGACCGTTAAGGTTAGACTTGTAGAATCCTAGACTACATGTAGGAAAATAAAACAGGTGAGCATTGGTAGTAAAAAAAAAAAAGTTCAACTGCCAAAAACTGTGTTGTTAATTGAAACGGTTGTATGTACTTTTAAAATAGCAAATGCTGAAATAAGAGTTAGAAAGGTTGAGGTCTCTGAAATCTTGCAAAGTTTATTCATCTTTGATTGATATTGGATTAACATGGCCTTAAACTGTTTACAGAGGGAGCTGATTTACACAAAGGGAAGTCTAATAATGCATCTCAGGTTATCTTCAGATCCAGCTTGATTAAATTTCACTTGTTAAACACCGATCTTCAACATATTATGGAAAACACTTCAAATAGATTATAGACACTCGAATCAGATACTACAACTTAAAAGGAACATTCCACATGTCCATACACAGGGTGCTTTGTAATACTGTAGAAATGAATAGATTCCTTTGCCATGACAATCTAAATCCCCACAATCCATTTTTCAGGGGGACGGAAACAACATGTGCTCATGCCATTGTTTTCCATTCAAATAAAATGCTTATGATGGCACTTTATGTATGATGTAAAATGTGCTGTGACATCATTAAAATGTCTTTGTATGTATACTGTGTGGTGCTGCTTTTTCTCTTCCAGGGGAATAATGGGGGTTTCACCAGGGGATTTCGTTATTCAAGATGCTACAGACCACCAAATGCATGATCTGTGTGAAGGACCCACATTCTAAATTAAAGACAGATATATACATATATATATATATATTTGTGTGTATACTGTGAAAACATTGTGTAAAAATATTATTTGGGAAATATTTAGCTTCTATGTTGTTATTCTTTGTTTAATGATATTATTTATTTTTACAACTTTTTACATCGTTTTTTTAATTTAGCAATCCCTTGTGTACTCCCTTACCTTTAAAAAAGATCGTATTTTTGTAATCTATATGCTAGTTGTTAATCCGACCAACAGTGGCGCAAGTCAATCCTCTGTGTGGCGCACGGGGGCGCACTGAGCGCTGCAGATGTGTCGCAGATTGAAAAAGTCACTGTACTCATCTAGCACAAGGAAATGGAGCAGTGCAAAGCATAAAATACTGAATTGTAAACAAGGCAGCGGAAGAGCGGGAACGTGTGCAGCCATTCTAACAGTGCATGGGATTTGCAATTCATAGTTACTTGAACGACCAGAAGGAAAAGCACAAAGACACATTGACTGCTACTTCATTATTTTTAGGGGAACAACTTAACTGATGGAACTGTCGGCAATCGGTGAGCAAGTGTTCGCTGTGGAATCAATCCTAAAGAAAAGAGTTCGAAAGGTAAGAGACATGCGCGTGTAGCTAGCTGCGTGTTTACTGACAGTTCAATCTGTGCAATCCCGCTGCACACATACAACATGTTAGAGGGGCGAGGACACACTTAACAGCAGCAGCGTGGAAGTGTTTGTAGTCTAATAACTTCGATGATGACGCATGTCGCAGCGCGAGCATATTCGTAGTCATGGAGACTACGCACTTTTATTTCCCGGTGGGGTCTAATAACTAACGTTAAAGTTTGGCCGTTTAGATGCAGCCGCCGAGGTTTATTTTTGATCGTTAAACGGCATTTGAGGTAATTGGTGCGAGCGGACGTGGCTCTCAGTTACTTTGAAGTCAAACTGAAACATGCGGTTAGCTTCAAATAGCGCTCGTTGAATGAGCGTTACTTCTGGTCTCGTATGAAATGTCAGGATTGAAATAGAAAGGAGGGGCTGTTAGTTCAGGGGTCGTCCTGCTTAATTCTGCTATTACGGAACCTTGTCATTACGTCATCGCACGCGTAACGTTACAAGACAAAAACAAACCATTCAGAAGAACGTGTAACCGTACTCAAAATATAAATGCAGTATTGGTTTACATCTATTTTTTCTTTTTGTTCTAATGTTTAAGGGTCATGTCGAATATTTATTGAAGTGGAAGGGGTGGCCTCCCAAGTAAGTATTATTATTATTATTATGGAAAATGGGAGAATAAGCTTAATTTCGAAATGTCTTAATCCTTTTATTTCCTGGTAGTTTTACAATTATTACTCTAGCGGCGAAGATGTTTTGTTTGTTTATTTGCACGTCATGTCAGTAAATATGTTTATGTTTTAATGACATTAAAGGTACAGCACATGGGAGCCTGAGGAGCACATTCTAGACCCTCGACTGGTTTTAACGTATGAGGAAAAGTGAGCTGTTATATAAATGAAACTTCCTTTTTCATTCTTTCACTTTCAGTCACTAGTACGTGAAATCATCCACACCGCATTTTCTCATTATTTCTCATTTCAAACAGAGAGCAGAGAGAAAGGTCAGTGAGGTGGCGTAAAAGAGGCCCAAAACCGAAAAGACTGTTCGTGCAGGTAATGACCACTACAGCATCTTAATTACTGCGGTTGTTTCCCTGCTAAATTGTCTTTCAAATCTTGTCCATCCACTTATTTTAGTATTATTTATATACTATTATAGTTTACATTAATATTTTGAATTAACCTTTATTTTTTCATTTTAATTGTATAAAAAAATTTGGTAATTTTTTCATTTGTCAAAAATGCACTTTTGCCATTTTTATTATAATTTTTTTTTTTTATATATATATATATATATTACTATTTAGATGTAATTTATTTTCATTTCCGTTTTAATTTTAGTACAGTTGTAGTTTTTATTTCCAGTTAAACTAAATGAAAATTAGAATTTTGCCTTGGACTCCTAAGTGAAATAAGTTTTCTCTCTAATATTTGTTTTATTTCAGCTTTATTTAAATTAACTAAAAATATATATATTTTTTTTAGTTATTAATAATAATCCATTGTCTAGCCACATATTGCTCTCTTGAAGAGAAACATTTACGCAATGGATCTACGCAGCGCGCACAAAGATACAGAGAAGTCTTCAGTACATCTGCCGCTCTCGCTTGACCCAAGGTTCCAGTCCACAGGGGCTTGTATATATCGACAATTAACCCACCACAAGAAAAAGAAGAAAGCTTCCCGAGAGACTTCTGAGGAAGAATGGGATAGAAGAGAAGATGATGATGATGATGATGATATATTTATGGAGGAGGAGGAAGAAGAAGAAGAAGAAGAGGACACAAGACAAGGAGGAACTAAAACTGGCAGCAACACTTTAAACAGTAAGTATGTTAGTTGGTCAGAGGGCAGACATAGTTGTCACTATGACCTAAATTGATATCAAGACTGCAGTGCTCTTTGTCAGCCTTATTGAGGAAAAAAACTCTCTTGACACTAAATCACAACACGAAGTTAACAGCTCTATTTGAACAGATCCAGGATTTTTGTTATTGTTGTTGGCAAAACCCTACTTTAAAAACTTTTTTCAAAAATTCAAGTCCTAATTACTACGTCAGGTGCGTTCAAGTCAGTTTAGTCAGCACAAGATGGCGGTGTACCTTCTTTTAATAAATTACGAGAAAATACAACAGGGTCTGCATTTTTTTTTACTTGGATTTCAGTTGCGTAACAAGAACATGACCAATTTAAGTTTATAGGACAACTAAACTATCAATTTAAACAAAAATTTACAGTCAACTACAGACGTTGCATCCATGGATTCTGCCATGTTTCTCATTGGCACGCCCCCAACTCGGGGCTTGAAAATTTCGAGTTTCCCACTCGTAATAATGACTTTGTGGTGGCATTCATGTGCGTTCAACTCGGAAATACGATCTATCTGACATGACTTGAACGCACCATTAGTCTATGGTTGAAATCCTAAAAAGTAAAATCAAGTTTTAAATGCTGCAAGTGAATTATTCATAATGGCGTTTTTTATATACAGTATATATATATATATATATATATATGTGTGTGTACACTACCGGAAATTAAAAATATATATGTATTTAAATTTTAAATTTTTGAAAGAAGTCTCTTATGCTCAGTAAGGCTGAATGTATTTGATCATGAATACAGTAAAAAGAGTAACATTGTGAAATGTTAATACAATTTTTAATTACAAATAACTGTTTTCTATTTTAATATATTTAATATATCTATAATAATTCTAGTTGGTAATTTAGTAATGGTCATATTTTAATATATTTTAAAATGTTTTATTCCTGTGATGAGCAAGAACACATTAAATTGTGTTAAAAAGTGACAGTAAAGACATTTTTAATGTTACAAAAGATTTGCATTGCAAATAAATGCAGTTCTTTTGAACTTTTTATCCATCAATAAATCCTAGAAATGTTTTACGATTTTTACAAAAATATTAAGCAGCAAAACATAGTTTGTTAATGGTAAGAACGAAGAAGAAGAAGAGTCCTAATAATAGATTACAATAATTATGCACTAAATCTGCGTAGTAGAATGATTTCTGAAAGATCGTGTGGCACTGAAGACTGGAGTAATGGCTACTCTGCCCTCACAGGAATAAATTACATTTTAAATTCAAATAGATAACAACAATTTATTTAATTATTTTGAATCATATTAACATTTTACAATTTTACTGTATTTCTGATCAAGTAAATGCAGCCTTGGTGAACATAAGATACTTTAAAAAAAAAAAAAAAAAAAAGGATTATATTGTGTATTGCATTGCATTTTGCACACTCCTGCATTATTCTTCACCCTTTTTAATACAATTAATAATTTGGGACACAACTACAGTAGTATTAAATTATTTGTGTTTTTAAAACTGAACTTAAGTGTCTAAAAAAGCATCTAAAACAGCACCCTATACAATACTTGTTTATAGTCATAGATTCTTTAATATCTATAACACGAGGAAGGTGTAAATATGTACAAAATGTACTCTGTCTCAGAGCGTGTCAGGAGAGGTCGCTGGAGTCCAACCACTGGGTCAGAGGCAATGACTATATCTCCTTTACCTGAAGACTGGAGTCCAGTTATGGGCCCAGAGGAGGTCATTGTGACAGATATCACCATCAACTCACTGACTGTGACTTTTAGAGAGGCCTTGGTAGCAAGGGGGTTCTTCAGGAGCTGGGAGATGGAGATCTGACATTACAGAGACTGAGGACGGTCAGAGCGAGGACGAAAGAGAATTGGTACATCTTTTTTTGCATTGTCGATTATGTGCTTGCACAACTTCCGCCAGTGTTTCAGACTACGTTTATTTGCACTATTAGTTGAAACCTTTCAAAATGTTGTTTCAGTGATTACATTCAAAGTAACAGTAACAGGTCATGCCATTTAATGGCAATAACTGATAGTATGATGAGATTTTGAACTTGTATTGGCCATGAAAAAAATCAATCCAGTTCTTTGATACTGGTTTTGATGGTGTTTTGCAGTGAAGTTTACAGATTCAACTAACTGGGATAAACCTTATTTGGTCTGGTCATGTATTTGCATGAAATACATAATGCTAGTTCAGAGTAGCACAATGAAGTATTCCTAAAAGCCAAGCTGTCACATATATGTCTATACATATTCACATTACATGTATGTATGTATATATATATATATATATATATACATATATATATACACACTATATACTTGGTGAACATGTTCTAATCTTGACCTTCAATTTAAATTGCACACCACACGCAGTAAATTAGAATTAGTGGCCTCTTGATACTCAAAATATGT